AGGCAAATGCACTCCAAATGAAATGCAAATGAACCCTAGATGCAACTTGGTGGCCAAGGATGGAATCTTTGGGTTTAGATTGGCTATATCTAGGTGCATGATAAGACCATGCAACCTTTGCCCTCCACTTGGGCCTAAGCCTTTCTAACACCAAAAATAGGTCCAAGAACACCAAAAAGGCGTCACCTCCTAATTTAAAATCCTAGCCCAAAATTAAAACCTTAATCATCTAGAGCACCCCATAATACAAGGGTAAAATGGGAAATACAAAAGAAAATAAATCCTATGACTAAGATACCCCAAAATACAAGGGTAAAATTGGAAATACAAGTAAAATAAATTCTATGACTAAAATACCCCAAAGTACAAGGGTAAAATTGGAATAAAGTAATAAAATTCTATACTACTCAAATTGGGCCTAGGAGATGCATCCATACATGGTATCTCTCCATTCTCCTAGCCGTGAACCATGTGATGGGCCTCACATGAAGTACCAAGGATGGTCCTCCATCAAGAGTGAGGGTTTCAGTTTTCCTCCTCTCTTGGAGCATCAAGAGCTTGGGAAGTTCTTGGAGTTGGAAGGTCCGTATTACCCAGAGCTCATTAGGCTGTTCCTGTGTTTTGCCTCAAGCAATGAGGGAATAATGCAATCTGTGGTGAAAGGCAAGCTTATAAAGCTTGATGGACCAACTTTGAAAGAAGTGGCAGGGCTTAGTGGAACAGGAAGTATGAAGTCCCAACCCTTCAATTTTGGTGACTTTGAAGAGCTGACAACCTTTCAGGATTGTCAAAGGAATCCGGAGACCACAAATTACAACAAATTTCTGGCTGGAGGTATGAAGAAAAACTCTAGGTTGATTTCTTTTATAATAGCTTGGATGCTTAAACCTAGGCTTCATAACCATGCTCAAATGTCTAGAGATGATATTTTGTTAATGCATGTGATTAAGAAAAAGGAAAAGATAGATTGGGTTTCTGTTGTGAATGATTGTATCTGGAAGGCTAGGAGAAAGGAGGATGGTCCAATACCCTATGCTTTATTGTTGTCTAGAATTTTTGAGAAAGTTGGTGTGAATCTTAAAGAGGAGAAAAAGATAATTCTCCATGCCTCAAATAATATTGAAAAATCTTCTTTGCATCATATGGGGATGCTAAAGCAAGAAGATAAATGGGTGTTCAAAGGTGATGTTCCTCGAACACCAGAACCGGCAACGGACGAAGATGGAGTTCCATCTCATGATGAGGAACTGCCACCTCAAGTGGAGCATGAACCAGTGTTTCAGATATGTATAAGAACATGCAAAACTAAAGCATGAAGTTGG